GGGGGGGCGTATGATCGAGGTTTAGCGGTGTCTCCCGCAGATAAGCCCTTGGCCGACACTCTTCCGAGAGCTCTTCCGCGCTTGGTCAGAACGGCGCGGTGAGGGGCATAAAATAAAAAGAGAGCGTGTCTGGAGGGGGGGCGAGGGCGCGTGCCAGGCGCGGTTTAGGGGGACGTTTTGGGGCCGTTTGGGCGCCGCCGTAGCCCGCGACAGTCACGCCGGCCGTTCAGGCGCCACAAACGCTCCGCGATACGGCCTCGCGCGCGGGGCGCCGCACCAAACAGCCCGCCTTTTATCAGGTGCTTGCCCGGTGCCGGCCAATCCGAGCGGCCAATCACCGCGCTCACTGCTTGAGCACCAGCCGGTTGTGGGGCCGGCCCCCGCGGGGGCGCCTGAAAGCGCCGCCTGGGGGCCCCCTGCCGCCGCCACCGGCCGCTTTTGTGGTCAATGTAGTGTCGTGGACACGGGCAAGGACACACCGACACACCCGACATCAGCCGTATCGAGAACTTTCTTCATTGAGGAGAAGGTCTGTGATTTTCAAGGAATTTCTAGAAGAATTGAATTTTATTGAAAACTTTAAAAGTATTTTTAAAATTACTTATAAAGTATTTACACAAGTGTTAATACACTTTATACAAGTGTTTATACTAGTATTTGTACAAGTATTTATAAAAGTCTTTATATGTAAAAAAGTGAAAGGCTTTGTATTTCTCGATTCACTTCCTGCAGCGTCGACTTGTTAAGCCCCCACCGACACTCTCTACATTCTTTTCTTGGTCGCGGGTGGGGTTCCTAAATCTCTCAATACCACATTACTTTAATACCCCCGGCGTATTATTGTTATTATATTTCCTCCGAGTTTTCCCCTTCTTTCCTCTGCTCGCGCGCCGACGGAGGGTAAGAAATAATCGCGAGAGGATGCTGGAGGCGTTTTCAACGGCCCCTTCCATCTCCCCACACCGCCATTCCTGCTGCTGCGGAAAACTTCTTTACGCGTTGTTCATTTAAAGGCAGCTTGTATTTCGCGCTCACGCGTTTTCCTTATTCTGGAATTTATTTTTGCTTCCTGCCCTGGCACAAATCTTTGTAGCAGTGCCCTACTCCCTTCTCGTTTTTTTCCTTGTTGGTTTTCTGTATTTTTTCCCCGTGCTCCCCTCGACATCAGGACCACGGCGGCAATCTTGATACTTTGTTTTATTCTTTGTATCCGGTGGGCGGACTCTCAGGGCGGGGGCCGAGGAGGGGGATAAGCTTGTGCGGAGAGGGTGTAAGCAATCCCTCTTTCTCCAACCCCTACCCCCCCCTCTTCCCTCAGCCGCGGGGGAGGCTCGTGCTAATGACCGTCTGAGGGGTAGGCTACCCGCCGGGCCTAACGCCCCGCCCCGCCACAACCCTCGTTACCGTCCGTCAGATAAGGACCGCAGCGATCATCTGCTGGAGATGCTGGAGACCGACTGGAGACTATCACCCCGGCGCGAACAAGTGCTGTAGGATGCAAACCCATGGGCAGTTACTGCTTTAACACCCAGAGAAATCAAAGTGAACCGTGTTTTGATTAAGATTTATTTTATGGAATGTTAAAATTCGGTCAACTTAGTGCAACTTTTCCACCTCCTAATTTTTATTATATTTTCTCAAAGTGCAAACATATTTTTGTTTCCTTCAGGGAAGACCTGCTGAAGTGGGGACTACTGGCGAGCTCGGCTGGAGCATTGGGGCTGGGACTGGAGGAAGGCAGGCGGGACTTGATCGGCCCGGGTTTTACGAGCGGGAAAGCCTGCGGGATACTCTGACTGGGCACGGCGTCAGCTGAGGTCAAAACATTCTCTGGAGCGGGCGGAGCTCTTCTGGACGCTGCTGGAGGCAAACCGACTGGGGCGGCAGGGGTTGGTAGTCAAGGTGAAGGAGGGGTTGAGAGGGGGGAGGGGGAATTTGTAGAGCCGTCAGCACGAGGAAATAAAGTAGAACCCTGGCGGTGGGAGTGATGGATAAGCTGTGGTGAGAGAAAGAGAGGGAGAGAAAGACAGAGAGAAAGGGGGAAGCTGAAATAGAAGGCAGAGCACAAGCAACCGTCGTGAAATGGCTTCCAGCAGAGCGGCTGTACAACACTACTAACAAACATTCGTATCCATTGCATTTTGTATCCCTTTCGTACATCAATGAATAAAGCTTGCAGTAAGTCACTGCATTCTCGTCTCTGTCCCTCTCTCTCCACTGCCCTGCCACCGCGCGACTATACGTAGTGCCGGGCGCGCGCTAGCGAGCGCCAAAATGCAAAACACCACCTTCGAAATGCAATACAACGCCCTTGCCTCGGCTCCCCCCGCGCCGCCTCACACACTAACGCGATATCTCGCAATGCGATTCGAGAGGGAAATGTGTTTGGAGCCACCTCCGCCTCTTCCTTACACCCTCTCTTATTCCACCACCGCGCACCGCCCGGACGCGCCTATATGTGTGCCAGTGCGGAGGAAGGAAGGGGGGGGGGGCACAGAGAAAGGGAGAGAGAAAGATAGAGAGAGGGAGAGACGAGGGGGAAGAAAGAAAGAGAGAAAGGGAGAAAGATATATTGAGAGGAAATATGAGAGAGGGTGGAAGAGAGAGAGAGAGAGAGAGAGAGCGGCAGAAGGTCGAGAGGGAGGGGCATTATACCGAGATAGTATCAGCCTATGGATTAGGCCGGCCGATTCTGGCCGCCTCTCTGGCCTGGCCGGCCGCGTGATTAGACACGGAAGGCTCGCGGCGCGTCACCGGGCGCACGTCAAACAAGCGTCATACACGACATTTCCCACTTTGAAATGTATTACAGTAAACACCAACGCATCAGATCCCCTTTTTGAGTTTTTGTAAGACCATATGGCGATGGAGTTCTTAAAAATTGGTATTACTGAGGCATGCCTTATTTACACGAATTTAAAAATTTCGCCACCAGAACACACCAAAACACGTTCGTTCACAACTAGATTTTCTGAGAAAACTGTTTTTTGCTGTTGATTTTTTCCAGGTAAACTATTTATTTTTCGCACCTGCAACGAACTTTTGTGTTAATGTTGACTTTTAAAGTAGTGAGGAAATCTCTCCCCCCCCCCTCCCCCCAGGACCAAATGTTATGTCTTTTTGCAGTATGCATTATGCGTTATATTTGTACATCGAGAGTAGCGCGTGTCAATTCAAAGATAACACGCAAAAGAGCCATGAATATTGTACACCATCACACCATCATTATATGTCCTTTTGGAAAAAAGTGTTATAGAACTAGAAAGGAAAAAACACGGTTATTGAATTTTTTCTTTAGACGGAAATTGGCAGGCCGAAAACATAAGGTGATAAAAGCACATCTGCTACTAAAGCCTACTTGCGATCAGTGAGGAAGAGCGCACGTAAAACTCTTTTTTTTTTTTCTAAAGTGTAAAAAAGAATCTAAAGTACAAAAAAAGAATAAAATTGCTTGTATAAGTTACAAAAACGTTGTATCTGAGAAAGAGAGAGTGTACAGATGATTCCTGAGAGGGTCGCGGCTCTCCGGCGGAGCCCCAGGGGACTGGAACTCCGGGGTGCGGCGCAGCGGAGGCGTCAGCGCACCCCAGCCAGCCGGCCAGTCCAACCGCGACCCTCGCGAATACAAACGGGAATAAAACGCAAAGACGAAACTAGAAGTTAGCGCCGACGACACACAACGACCAACAGCCCGCCAGCAACATTCCTTCTTAAAGTGTGGAAATGGGCTGGCTTTCCCTGCGCAGGACGGAAACGACAGTAGGCGAAGCCAGCCGCAAAGTCTCCGCTCCACCTTAAAAATCACATTGTATTGTTACATCTACAACTAGGAAAGTGACAACTCAACGCCCAAATGGCATTTTTAACCCAGACCGGTTTATGATGATAAATACATTTTTTTTTGCAATCTCACAACTGTTTAGAGGCCGTGCCGTAAAACTAGATTAGGATCGCAGTCAGCTAAAAATTCGCTTTGGAAAAGTTGCAAAAATCCGCCATTTTTGGATGTTGTTCTAAAGAGGTTGTGGAGGTTGATAATTGCAAACTTACTGTGATCTGCAACTTCCACATACGGATTCGTTACGCCAGAACGGTCAAGAAACATTAAAAGTGCCGCACGAAACAAAATGACCAAACAGTTTTTGCATATCAGGCGCCGTGCCATTAAAAATATTATACAGAAAATATAGTGTGTAAAATATTTAACACGAGTATTTAACATTAATATTTAACTTCGCTGCATTATTCTTCTGTTTTTACCTCTTTCGCAGAAATTATCGTGGGTTATTTTGTTTTTATTCAGTAACGCTGTCACTGCCCGTGGTATTGCACCCAGCGTATGGTTTGCCACCTGGATTTGCTCCGAGCGCGCTGTTTTACATAATGAGTCCAGAGAGACCTCTCTGTGTGAGGCGGGAGTATCACCAGGATGCATTTCATAGGCTGTGCGCGACAGGTGTAAGCAAGGTGCAAGCAAGATGCGCGCAAGGTGCAAGCAAGTTGCACGCGAGGTGCAAGAACGGTGCACGCAAGGTCCACGCAAGGTGCAAGGAAGGTGAGAGCAAGGTGCGAGCAAGGTGCGAGCAAGGTGCGAGCAAGGTGCAAGTAAGGTGCAAGCAAGGTGCAAGCAAGGTGCGAGCAAGGTGCAAGCAAGGTGCAAGCAAGGTGCGAGCAAGGTGCGAGCAAGTTGCAGGCAAGGTGCACGCAAGGTGCGAGCAAGGTGCAAGCAAGGTGCGAGCAAGGTGCACGCAAGGCGCAAGTGTCACGTGCCTAGGCCACACACGTGGTCGTACCACAACCTCGTCCCGCTGTCGTACACACCTGCCGTGGTCGACGGGCGCGGGCTGATGCATCCACGCGCGCAGCTGGCTGGTGGTGAGGGGCTCCTCCTTGAGCGCTCGGTGGTGGTGCGGGTGCGGGTGGGGGTGCGCGTCGAGGCCGAACATGAGGCCCTGCGACGCGGCCCCCGGGTACAGCTTGCGGCCCCACACCGGCTCCAGCTCCATGCCGGGCCAGGGCGAGGCCGTGGCGAAACTCTCGTCGGACCTCGTCGTGGGGCCGGTGACACCACAGGGGGGGAGGACGGGCGACGCCGAGGACGGCGTCGATGGGCGGCGGCGGTGTCAGTCACCGCCACCAAGAACAACACACTTCACTCGCGGCGACACAACACGGAAGCACACGAACGCGCACGTGGACACGATCACGAATCAACAGCTGGTGTCCGGGTCTCGGCCCCTTCGCTGACGACGTGCCCTGACGGCGTGCCCTGCGGGCAGGTCTCCCGGGGGCAGTCCTGATGGCTCCGCGGGGTGCCCCGGCTCGGCTCGGCTCGGCCCGGCTCGGCTCGACTCGGCTCGACTCGGCACGGCTGCGTCGTCCGCTCTGCGCCTCGACCTCTGCCGCTGGGGAAGCCTCAACGGTCTCTGAGAGGCCTGGCCGGCCCGGACGGCGCGCCCGCCTCGGGGACCACGATTGCTCCGCGCGGGGAGGCCGGGGGCGGGCGGGGGGTGGGGCGGGGAGCGGCGCGGGCCGGTGGGGGAGTGGGGAGGCACGCCCGGGCCAGCCTGGGGGTTGGCTCCGGCGCGCCAGAGGGCGGTCCCAGCGCGGGGAGGGGGCGAGCTGGCGCGCGCGGGAGAGCGAGAGAGACTGCAAGCCTCCGAACGATGCGTTGCGTTCTTCACTCGATGATAGCCGCGGAGGTCACACCTGTTAGGAGGCCGCTGATGAGCCTCCGAGGACGCGTAGAGCAGACGCCACCGGGACGGGGCTGACGGCCGGCGCCGCAGAGCGGACCTGCGTGATTACTGCCGCTGTCTAGCCTGGTGTCGAAGGCGTGACATGGTGCAAAGACAATGCTCGCATACGGGAAAGAACTCAAGAAACTGCGCACACAAAATGATTTACAAACTACGCAAGAAGAGAAACTACACAGGTCAAATGTAACATGATAAAATGCCGCGTAAAATACTCTTGCCTACAATATTGGGTCGTAGGCTTCAGGATGGTCTGCAGAAATACAGGTGCAGTGGTCGGTATAACGTTGTGTCTGAAACATCCGGCGTGCGTTGCAAATGTTGCGTCTCAAGACAGCTGAAACCTGGCTGATTTGGAGGATGGTGAACATTGCGGCGCACTGCTTAGGCACCCGTGCTTCTTGCAGTCCACGCTACTTCATTTCGCATTTGAAGGTGAGAAATGGAATACAGCGTGTATAACTTTCAAATGGCAGTTTGATTTCCACCTTGCTGGTCGTCGGTTACGCGAGAATTGACCGACTGGGACTTCCCTCTTCCGATTACGCCTTCAAGTTCACGGCTGCCGATCCTCTGGAGCCCGCGGTGTCGTCGTGGAGGGGAGGGGCCCCGGTGAATGAAGAGGGGGAAGGGGCTGCGCAGGGCAGGGGTCCCAGTGGCGGGGGGCCCCTGGGCCGGGCCGCGCGGGGGGCACTGGAGCGGGCGCCGTGGGGCGCAGCGGCCCGGCGGTGGGAGGGGCGTGAGCGCGCCGCTCTGGGCGGGGCCTGGGGCGGCGCCGGCCAATGGGGACCCGGCCGGCGCCCAGCCGGGGCCCGGGCC